ATAGGAAATCTGCCCATTCTTACCCCTCACACAATTTGTGGAACCTTTCACCGGCCCAAGAGAAGCAGGATAGCGTACGCCCTCATCTCCCGGCAATATCTCCAGACCTCCCACAGCAGAGCCCCGTCAAATCCAGAGTGAGGGAAGGAGCTGAACTCGACGATGAAGCCGCTGTTGGAGTCAGCATAGTTGGAGTCAGCACAGCTGTCGCAGACACAGGCAGTCCCAGCGATAAAGGCGCAGGTAGATCAGGCACCAGGGCGGCGAAGCTATTCTTCATGTCGATCTGCTCTGGACCTCTCGCAGACACTCTAGTCCGTTTAGCAGCATGCCGCTGCCTTCGGTTTCCACGACTTGTGACATGGGACCAGCGCTGATTGGAACAATCCTCTTGCTGTTGTCAGTCTACTCCACTACAAGATGTAGGAGGAGAAGCAGATGGAGACGACTTCCTTGGCAGGCAAGTTCCTGTCACGCCCTGATTTGTTGAGTCAGGGTGTGATTTTCCTTGTTGTGTATATTCAAATGGTGGTCACGCCCTGACTCTGAGGACTCTCATTTGTTGAGTCAGGGTGTGATTTTCCTTGTTGTGTATATTCATTGTGGTTATGTTCTATGTTGGATTTTCTATGTTTTAGATCTAGAATGTGTAGATCTATGTTGGCCGGGGTGGTTCCCAATCAGAGGCAGATGTAGCTCGTTGTCTCTGATTGGGGACCATACTTAGGCAGCCTTTTGGCACCTGTTAGTTGTGGGATCTTGTTCCGTGTGAGGTTTGTTGTGTGTACCTTAGGACGTCACGTATCGTTAGTTTATTGTCTTTGTTCGTTGTGTTTATTCTATCGTTAAATAAACATGAATGCATATCACGCTGCGCCTTGGTCCTTTTCGTTTGTCAACGATCGTGACAGTTCCAGGTAGCACAAGCCATTCGGATAGGGACAGATGACAAGGTGGGGATACATCCATCAAGCCAAAATATACACTGCTCAAAAAAATAAAGGGAACACTAAAACAACACATCCTAGATCTGAATGAATGAAATAATCTTATTAAATACTTTTTTCTTTACATAGTTGAATGTGCTGACAACAAAATCACACAATTATCAATCGAAATCAAATGTATCAACCCATGGAGGTCTGGATTTGGAGTCACCCTCAAAATTAAAGTGGAAAACCACACTACAGGCTGATCCAACTTTGATGTAATGTCCTTAAAACAAGTCAAAATGAGGCTCAGTAGTGTGTGTGGCCTCCACGTGCCTGTATGACCTCCCTACAATGCCTGGGCATGCTCCTGATGAGGTGGCGAATGGTCTCCTGAGGGATCTCCTCCCAGACCTGGACTAAAGCATCCGCCAACTCCTGGACAGTCTGTGGTGCAACGTGGCGTTGGTGGATGGAGCGAGACATGATGTCCCAGATGTGCTCAATTGGATTCAGGTCTGGGGAACGGGCGGGCCAGTCCATAGCATCAATGCCTTCCTCTTGCAGGAACTGCTGACACACTCCAGCCACATGAGGTCTAGCATTGTCTTGCATTAGGAGGAACCCAGGGCCAACCGCACCAGCATATGGTCTCACAAGGGGTCTGAGGATCTCATCTCGGTACATAATGGCAGTCAGGCTACCTCTGGCGAGCACATGGAGGGCTTTGCGGCCCCCCAAAGAAATGCCACCCCACACCATGACTGACCCACCGCAAAACTGGTCATGCTGGAGGATGTTGCAGGCAGCAGAACATTCTCCACGGCGTCTCCAGACTCTGTCACGTCTGTCACATGTGCTCAGTGTGAACCTGCTTTCATCTGTGAAGAGCACAGGGCGCCAGTGGCGAATTTGCCAATCTTGGTGTTCTCTGGCAAATGCCAAACGTCCTGCACGGTGTTGGGCTGTAAGCACAACCCCCACCTGTGGACGTCAGGCCCTCATACCACCCTCATGGAGTCTGTTTCTGACCGTTTGAGCAGACACATGCACATTTGTGGCCTGCTGGAGGTCATTTTGCAGGTCTCTGGCAGTGCTCCTCCTGCTCCTCCTTGCACAAAGGCGGAGGTAGCAGTCCTGCTGCTGGGTTGTTGCCCTCCTACGGCCTCCTCCACGTCTCCTGATGTACTGGCCTGTCTCCTGGTAGCCCCTCCATGCTCTGGACACTACGCTGACAGACACAGCAAACCTTCTTGCCACAGCTCGCATTGATGTGCCATCCTGGATGAGCTGCACTACCTGAGCCACTTGTGTGGGTTATAGACTCCGTCTCATGCTACCACTAGAGTGAAAGCACCGCCAGCATTCAAAAGTGACCAAAATATCAGCCAGGAAGCATAGGAACTGAGAAGTGGTCTGTGGTCACCACCTGCAAAACCAGTCCGTTATTGGGGGTGTCTTGCTAATTGCCTATAATGTCCACCTGTTGTCTATTCCATTTGCACAACAGCATGTGACATTTATTGTCAATCAGTGTTGCTTCCGAAGTGGACAGTTTGATTTAACAGAAGTGTGATTGACTTGGAGTTACATTGTGTTGTTTAAGCGTTCCCTTTATTTTTTTGAGCAGTGTATTTTGATTTGTTTAACAGTTTTTGGGTTACTAAATGATTCCATATGTGTTATTTCATAGTTTCGATGTCTTCACTATTATTCTGCAATGTAAAACATTGTAAAAATAAAGAAAAACCCTCGAATGAGTAGGTGTGTCCAAACCTTTGACTGGTAGTGTGTATATATATATATATATACAGTGGGGGAAAAAAGTATTTAGTCAGCCACCAATTGTGCAAGTTCTCCCACTTAAAAAGATGAGAGAGGCCTGTAATTTTCATCATAGGTACACGTCAACTATGACAGACAAATTGAGAAAAAAAATCCAGAAAATCACATTGTAGGATTTTTTATGAATTTATTTGCAAATTATGGTGGAAAATAAGTATTTGGTCACCTACAAACAAGCAAGATTTCTGGCTCTCACAGACCTGTAACTTCTTCTTTAAGAGGCTCCTCTGTCCTCCACTCGTTACCTGTATTAATGGCACCTGTTTGAACTTGTTATCAGTATAAAAGACACCTGTCCACAACCTCAAACAGTCACACTCCAAACTCCACTATGGCCAAGACCAAAGAGCTGTCAAAGGACACCAGAAACAAAATTGTAGACCTGCACCAGGCTGGGAAGACTGAATCTGCAATAGGTAAGCAGCTTGGTTTGAAGAAATCAACTGTGGGAGCAATTATTAGGAAATGGAAGACATACAAGACCACTGATAATCTCCCTCGATCTGGGGCTCCACGCAAGATCTCACCCCGTGGGGTCAAAATGATCACAAGAACGGTGAGCAAAAATCCCAGAACCACACGAGGGGACCTAGTGAATGACCTGTAGAGAGCTGAGACCAAAGTAACAAAGCCTACCATCAGTAACACACTACGCCGCCAGGGACTCAAATCCTGCAGTGCCAGACGTGTCCCCCTGCTTAAGCCAGTACATGTCCAGGCCCGTCTGAAGTTTGCTAGAGTGCATTTGGATGATCCAGAAGAGGATTGGGAGAATGTCATATGGTCAGATGAAACCAAAATATAACTTTTTGGTAAAAACTCAACTCGTCGTGTTTGGAGGACAAAGAATGCTGAGTTGCATCCAAAGAACACCATACCTACTGTGAAGCATGGGGGTGGAAACATCATGCTTTGGGGCTGTTTTTCTGCAAAGGGACCAGGACGACTGAACCGTGTAAAGGAAAGAATGAATGGGGCCATGTATCGTGAGATTTTGAGTGAAAACCTCCTTCCATCAGCAAGGTATTTGAAGATGAAACGTGGCTGGGTCTTTCAGCATGACAATGATCCCAAACACACCGCCCGGGCAACGAAGGAGTGGCTTCGTAAAAAGCATTTCAAGGTCCTGGAGTGGCTTAGCCAGTCTCCAGATCTCAACCCCATAGAAAATCTTTGGAGGGAGTTGAAAGTCCGTGTTGCCCAGCGACAGCCCCAAAGCATCACTGCTCTAGAGGAGATCTGCATGGAGGAATGGGCCAAAATACCAGCAACAGTGTGTGAAAACCTTGTGAAGTCTTACAGAAAACGTTTGACCTGTGTCATTGCCAACAAAGGGTATATAACAAAGTATTGAGAAACTTTTGTTATTGACCAAATACTTATTTTCCACCATAATTTGCAAATAAATTCATTAAAAATCCTACAATGTGATTTTCTGGATTTTTTTTTCTAATTTTGTCTGTCATAGTTGCCGTGTACATATGATGAAAATTACAGGCCTCTCTCATCTTTTTAAGTGGGAGAACTTGCACAATTGGTGGCTGACTAAATACTTTTTTTCCCCACTGTATATATAATAAAAAAAAAAATCAATTCAGGGGGTGCTGTAGCACCCTCAGCACCCCTACTTCCCGCGGCTATGGCTAGCTGTAGCTCATCCTTTCAGCACTAGATTCATTCTCTGATCCTTTCATTGGGTGGACAACATGTCAGTTCATGCTGCAAGAGCTCTGATAGGTCGGAGGACATCCTCCGGAAATTGTCACGAATACTGTGTAAGTCAATGGAAGGGGGTGAGAACCATGAGCCTCTTAGGTTTTGTATTGAAGTCAATGTACCCAGGGGAGGATGGAAACTAGCTGTCCTACGGCTACACCATGGTTCTACCCCAGAGAGTGCTGTTGAGGCTATTGTAGAGCTTTATTGCAAAACTGTGTGTTTTAATACATTTTTGGGTGACGTGAATATATTTAGTATTGTTGTCTAAATATTTTAACTTTTTATGTTTAACTATTTTTATTCTTATTAAATTATGGTCCTCCTCTTCCTCTTTTCAGGAGCCTCCACTGATAGATACCCGTACACTGCCAAAGGGTTTAGAAAAATCCAATACAGAGGCTCAGATGTCCTTGCCATTGCCAGCTTAGGCAATGATGTAGAAACAGATTCTATAGATACTAACAGATACTTGATAACATTTATATTGATGTGTTTGATTCTCAACAGGATGTTGTACTGAAGGAGTTCTCCTACCCGGTGTACAAGCCAGACAAGAAGATGGGATATGAATTCAGGATACGGATGAGATACGACTGTCTGTTTGGTGACCTGAAGACATGGAGTGAATGGACATCAACAAGATACTGGAGAAATGAGACTGAGACAGGTAGAGCACTCTGTCTTTCTATGTCCCTTTCCCACTCCCCCTCTCTTTCCTTCTCTTTCACCCTCTGTCTCACAATGAACTATAGGTCAATTGTTTAGCCCATGAACAAAATGAGGGAACAGCATTTGTGTGTAGTACAGTTGATGAATGAGGCTAAAAATACTTTTTCAAACACTCAAACTCTTTTTGTCAACAGGTTCCTGTGCCACAGAGGTTTATTTAGAGATAAACGCCACTGTTTATGTTGTGACCATTTTACCTTTGTTGATCTGCTTCCTGCTGATAGTCACTTTCTCACAAAAAAGGCAAGTGGTCAAGACTAAAATCACATTCTATTCTATTCTGCAATTCTATACTAACAATTTAACAGCTATTTGGAATTGGTTAGGTCCTGAGCAGGTCATAAATATATCAAATAATCATAATGATATTAAACAATGTAATAATGATTTGCTAACAGGGTTAGAAGACTCTTCCTACCCCACATTCCAGACCCCAAACACACCTGTGAAACTCTCTTCAGTATGGACCAGTCTCAGGTAAGAGACTGATAACATATAGGTAACTGTCAAAATAAAGGAAACACTTGAGTAAATAAGGGATACAAAGTATATTGAAAGCAGGTGCTCCCACACAGATGTGGTTCCTGAGTTAATTAAGCAATTAACATCCCATCATGCTTAGGGTCATGCTCATAAAAGCTGTTCAGTTACTTAGTACTCAGCCCCTCAGTGACTGCCAGCTCTGTGGGCGCATAGGTCATGCGAACAAACTTAGATTGTTTTGCCAGCTATTTGCTATGAGGGGGAACTGCCCCAATGAAATCACAGGATTTCATAGCATACAGTGGGGAAATAAAGTATTAGTCAGCCACCAATTGTGCAAGTTCTCCCACTTAAAAAGATGAGAGAGGCCTGTAATTTTCTTCATAGGTACACGTCAACTATGACAGACAAAATGAGGAAAAAAAATCCAGAAAATCACATTGTAGGATTTTTAATGAATTTATTTGCAAATTATGGTGGAAAATAAGTATTTGGTCAATAACAAAAGTTTCTCAATACTTTGTTATATACCCTTTGTTGGCAATGACACAGGTCAAACGTTTTCTGTAAGTCTTCACAAGGTTTTCACACACTGTTAATGGTATTTTGGCCCATTCCTCCATGCAGATCTTCTCTAGAGCAGTGATGTTTTGGGGCTGTCACTGGGCAACACAGACTTTCAACTCCCTCCAAAGATTTTCTATGGGGTTGAGATCTGGAGACTGGCTAGGCCACTCCAGGACCTTGAAATGCTTCTTACGAAGCCACTCCTTCGTTGCCCGGGCGGTGTGTTTGGGATCATTGTCATGCTGAAAGACCCAGCCACGTTTCATCTTCAATGCCCTTGCTGATGGAAGGAGGTTTTCACTCAAAATCTCACGATACATGGCCCCATTCATTCTTTCCTTTACACGGATCAGTCGTCCTGGTCCCTTTGCAGAAAAACAGCCCCAAAGCATGATGTTTCCACCCCCATGCTTCACAGTAGGTATGGTGTTCTTTGGATGCAACTCAGCATTCTTTGTCCTCCAAACACGACGAGTTGAGTTTTTACCAAAAAGTTATATTTTGGTTTCATCTGACCATATGACATTCTCCCAATCCTCTTCTGGATCATCCAAATGCACTCTAGCAAACTTCAGACGGGCCTGGACATGTACTGGCTTAAGCAGGGGGACACGTCTGGCACTGCAGGATTTGAGTCCCTGGCGGCATAGTGTGTTACTGATGGTAGGCTTTGTTACTTTGGTCCCAGCTCTCTGCAGGTCATTCACTAGGTCCCCCCGTGTGGTTCTGGGATTTTTGCTCACCGTTCTTGTGATCATTTTGACCCCACGGGGTGAGATCTTGGGATCGAGGGAGATTATCAGTGGTCTTGTATGTCTTCCATTTCCTAATAATTGCTCCCACAGTTGATTTCTTCAAACCAAGCTGCTTACCTATTGCAGATTCTGTCTTCCCAGCCTGGTGCAGGTCTACAATTTTGTTTCTGGTGTCCTTTGACAGCTCTTTGGTCTTGGCCATAGTGGAGTTTGAAGTGTGACTGTTTGAGGTTGTGGACAGGTGTCTTTTATACTGATAACAAGTTCAAACAGGTGCCATTAATACAGGTAACGAGTGGAGGACAGAGGAGCCTCTTCAAGAAGAAGTTTCAGGTCTGTGAGAGCCAGAAATCTTGCTTGTTTGTAGGTGACCAAATACTTATTTTCCACCATAATTTGCAAATAAATTCATAAAAAATCCTACAATGTGATTTTCTGGAATTTTTTTCCTCAATTTGTCTGTCATAGTTGACGTGTACCTATGATGAAAATTACAGGCCTCTCTCATCTTTTTAAGTGGGAGAACTTGCAATTGGTGGCTGACTAAATACTTTTTTTCTCCACTGTAAATTATAACAGCACAAAGTAAATGGACCATCCTGAGGCGCTCAAATGTGTGTTCAGTCAGAAGTTCTGGGTCTGCTCTAGTCTCCCTCCCCCAATGAGTCTCTCGCGCCAGACGGCTTACTTCCGCACGCGAGACTAGATCTGCTCTATCAGGTACAGATGGCGCTAAAGCAAAAAAATTAAAAAAATTAACTATCGTTATAAATAATCGTAACAGTCATCGAAGCCTGGGACCTGAAAACCGGACAACCACATCCAACAAGAGTCGAAGAACAGAGGGATACGCTAGCTAGAACCTTCTCATCGCAGATCTGTTAGGACAAAACGCATGGCCAAAGTTGTTTGTTTCCCCCTGATGTTGTTTATAAGGTTCTACCCTTACGAAAAAAGATTGCAGTCAGAGTGCATTATAACTGTAGTACACTGCAGTATAACTGCAGTTAGAGGGCAGTATAACTGCAGTTAGAGGGCAGTATAACTGCAGTATTCTGCAAATACTGCGTCCAAAATAAGTTTATTTTACTGCAGTAATTGTGCAGTGTAACTGCAGTTAGAGTGCAGTATTACTGCAGTTCAACTGCAGTACACTGCAGTTATTCTGCAATTACTGCGTCCAAAATACCACAGTTGACTGCAGTTACTGCACTTTTAATGCAGTTTCAAAACCACAATATTTTTTTGTTAAGGTACTGTAGGTGACAGGGCAACATGTTGTGTGGACTAAAACAGTATATAACTGGGTGTATCACAAAGCATGATCATATTAATTAGCCAGCTACAGTAACTTTGAGAAACATTGAGAAAGGTAGGTTTTATTTTGGGTCAAATTAACCAGTTAGCGATCTACCTTTGATAAGCAGCTAGCTAGCTATAGCTTGCTGGTAGCTTGCTAGCTAGTTAGCTTCCAATGCCAATTTCAAGTCTTTCTAAAATAATATCTGACTAACTCACAAATATGAAGTTAATTCAGAATGAAAGTTAACTGGCTAGCGTATCATGCTTTGTGACATGTTAGCTAGCTAAACCCAGTGTTTTCACTTATTGCATGTACACAGAGCTGGCTGCTCATTCTAAATAGTATAATCTAATCTGTTCAAAACAGTGGCAGCATGTGCAGTATTCCATTTTTGACATGCAAAAGTGAAATAGGTGTATTTATGCTGTTGTTCAAATATACAGATCACTTTATAAATCTTCTCAAAGAAACTACCGGTAATTCGACTGCTTTGTTCAGCCAATAAGTGGCCGCCGCTGTTATGGTGGCTCGTTGTGGCCCAATACCCTATTAAGACACTTTATGTTGGTGTTTCCTTTATTTTGGCAGTTTACTTTGAGAGGTATACATGAGGCATTCATAAAACCTGTATGAACAAAAATACATTTATTCGACACCATTCATATGGTTCTACAGAGTTGTAGCGACATGCCTCATTTAAGAATCAACATCCGCTATCATTAATGCTGTGTGTATTGGGATGTACAGGTGTATCTCTAAACGGTTACCTGTCTGCTTCCTCCCTGTTGGTAGTGGCGCAGTACTTTCACAGAGCCAAGTGTGGAATGTGAGATGGTTGACATAGAGCTAGTCAGCACAATGAAGAGTGAGGAGGAAGAAGAAGAGGGGGAAGCTGAAAAATGCGCTCATATTAACCCGATTGCTCATCTAATAGACCCTGACCTGGAGGTCAATGGAGCGTATGTGTTCTGGTGATGGACCAAGAGCCATAGGCCAACGCCCACTGACATTTGATTTTGTAAATGTAAAAAAATTGTCCCCCCAAAAAAGCATTGTCTTGCACCATCCCTGACTTTTAAGTATTTGTATTTTACATTGCTCAGTTGTCAGAATTCTGAAATCACAAGCAGAAAAAGTAGAGGCCATTGACTTTTTTATTACAGCTAGTGCTACCTTAAGGGGCCAAGACAAATGCAGGATAAGGCGTTGCTACCCAGAGGCTAATGTGTCTCGCTCCTCACTGAATTAATGGATGAATGGGTGATAGACACCAGATACAAACTGATAATTATGGACTTTAATAGAATTCGAATCAACTGAATGATGAGGATGAAGAGGGTGATTGAATTTAGAACAATAGCGTAAGAATGTGGCAGCAGTGCGTCCTGCTCTGCATCCTGCTCTTCCTCTTCCCCACGTGCATGTCAAAAAACTAAAGTTATTTCAATCCCAATACCACAGACAGGAGGCAGACAGTCAGTGTGTACGGTTCTTTAATATCTTTCTTTATTATTAAAAAGGGGTTTAAAGGTTAAAAGCAACACAGAACACAAAACAAGGACAGGCCTGGGCACACACACGCTAGAGTCCATAGTTGTTTTTTGGCATGGAGCGTTCGCCGCCTCGGCTTTGGCATCATGGGGTTCCGATGCGGTGGTCATGGCCTTGGCAATCTCGTCGTAACAGGCCACATCTGGAGAGGTTGGAGAAAGCTTCATCAGTAACGTCATCATATTGGAAACCATTGGAACGTACTCGCACGTTGTTCGGCTCTTCATCCCGAAGCAGGATCGTTCCGTTCGGCTCTTCCCGAGCAAGGTCACACTCATCTAGTCCCCTCTCCCCAGATGTAGCGGTAGTGGTGTGGCTGAGCACAGCCTGTGGCACCAGTCCTCTCCTGTTGCTGGCTTGAATATCCTGAACAATTTCTGAGAGCTGCCTTTGTGCAGGGACAACTCATTAGCCCCAATGCTCCTCAGGTGTGGGGGGGCGTGGCTCAGGTCCCTGATTAACACACTCATTCCCACAATGAGACAAACACACAAAGGAGGTTAACCAATTAAAAGTAAAGAAAGCCACTTAAATAAGTCAATAAGAAATAAACCAAAACACAGC